AATAATTAAAATGTCTGCTTCCAGAAACGTGGCAAACAGAACCGGATCATGCGTCCTGTGGCTCCTGCTAACCGCCCCAACCAATCCGCAATGGATAAGCTGACCAGCCTGCACCGCCGAGTCTCTTCCACCATGCAGCCCATCATTGTCCAGGCTCCAGTAGAACAAACAATAGCTAAACCAGTCCCCACCGTTACCATGGCCAAACCCATGCCCATGGGAATACCAGCCTTCAAACCACTACCGCCAAAAGAAGAAACCCTTGCCGTTCTACCCATAGCATCAACAAGGAAGACCTACACCCCACTGCAAGTCCCACAGTCCAAGGGCCCAGGACTCGCATACCAAAGTGAGATATACCCATCACACAACCAAATATCGAAAATGGTATCACAAATGACAGCAGAACAGTTCTCCCCAGTCAAGTTCACACAAAGTCCCGTCATTGTAGAACATCCAAAACTGTACTCCATCACTACTGTTAATCCATTCGTACCCATGCCCCCCTCTCAAGCTATATCTCTTATACCTGCCCCAGCTTTCAAAGAAATACAAAGACAACCCTACTCACCTAACTCTATTATCCAAAAACATCCTCTTTCTAACTTTGTAGACCCAGTTCCCCATCAAGTCCACGATATCGCGAACAACGCTGTTTATAATACGAAGAAAGTCGACGATTATAATTCTATAACTGGTTACGGAGATGATACTGTGTTGAAGTTTAATAAAGAAGAGATTAATTCGAAGATAGCAGAGATTGCTAAGGCTGGGAATATATCTATGGAGGCAGTAGAAGCTGCGATAGCGTTGAGGCAACAGCAGTTATTGAGTAAATATGCGAACATCCCAGCTCCAATACCCGCGCCTACCACCACGTCGTCGACCACCACGACGACGACAGAACAGCCGTTCGTGTTCCAGCAGGAACCTGAACCTGAAATATTAACAGCAGCAATACCTCAGAAGCCGCCGAAGAGGTCTGTATATTCCCAATAATCTGTAATACATAATTACAGTAGGAATAATTAAACACATTTTCGGTCTAGGTTCTCAGGAAAACCTTGGTTTTGAGGTATGATTAGACATAGAAGTAAAAATATAAAGTACTACAGCTTGGCAGCACCGCATAAAGTTGCTTTTATGCTTATTAAGCAATTATGTTTTTAATCAATACAAATTCATAAAATCACGATGCGCTATAAACATTTTCTTTTGCTAGGCTAAAAAACTTTAAACTAGTCACTTTGAGCCAGCCTTTTTAATAAGTCCCACGTTAACGTTGGGTACAAATTCAAAACTCGTTAATCATTTTTTATTAAGTTCTAATTCTAGTGGTAAACATTTCCAGAACTCCTATATCCGGCAAGGTAATGAATGCTCCTCGTGAGTACTACCCTGTCGGTTATGAGAAGAACTTCGACGACCACTTCCAGTCCAAGGTAGACCTTCCGGAGACCAACTTCCATTGTGGTGACCAGAAGTACTTCCCTGGATTGTATGGAGATGAGAGTCTTGGGTGTATGGTAAGTAAACAGTTAGATAATTAAAATTACGCTTAAAGGCTTGTTCACGTCACCAGTCGCCATTTGGAAACAATGTAACTTATTTATACATTGATCTAGACTGAGTGTTTTAACCAAACGTTCCTCTATAAGTTACAATTATATCATCCCTAAGACGACAGTTAAAATGTTTGACTGTAAGTTTGAAGCAGTGGCTGGGAAACCAACTTGCTGTGACTTGTGTCACGAGTCCAATTCCCGTACGGAACAGTTCATTGATTTAGAAATTTTTGTGTATATGTTTGAACGTACCCACGACACATAAAAAATCATTATGTTAAATAAGATTTCATAAAAATTAAAATAATTTCGTTTAAAATTTCCAGGTGTTCCACGTCTGCGCTCTAACAGACGATGGTCTCGTCATGAAATCCTTCCTCTGTCCTGAATCCACGCTCTTCGATCAGACCATCCTCAAATGCAACTGGTGGTTCTACGTAGACTGTAAGAATACTAAGAAACTGTATGACACTAATATACCAGTCTCCAAGAGCTACCAGTTGATGAAGGCGCTCACTTTCTTCTCATCATACAAGAAGGAGATGCAAGAGGATGGTAAGCATTTGTATATTATTGTGTTTTTAATTTTAAGCATAATAATTTGCCTGTCTAATATGACTGTATTACTTCGGATAGTAACAATAGTTTACTCCAAAATAGAGTAGATAAGCGCATTGCCAAAGCTATATTTTATAAACACTCTTTACTTTTGCAATTTTCAGGTCAAAAAACTAACCCAGAAGATGTAGATGGTATAAAAGAAGCTATATCTATCCTTCAGAATCAGGATACTTCACGTCCAAATGGACCTGTTCAAACTAACGCAGCTGTTACAGGCAGTACACAAAACACTGCCAGTTCATCTAACCACATACAATTTATCACTCCAACTCCAATCATTGATGAAAGGAACAAGAAAACCACAACTGAAGCAGCCCCTGTGTACAGAGGCAATAGAAACCTAAATGCAACAAGAAACTTTAAAAAGAATTCAGCTTCAGCAGAGACTTCAGATATCAAACTTATAACAGTTAACGCTGACATAAACATAGCCAATGGTAATGTTACTGAGAACGATTCCAGGGAAAGAAAACATAGAAGAAGAATGACTTTGAAGAATACTTCAGTAGCTCAACCCAGTACTACTAGCACAACGACTACAAGCACAACAGAGAAACCTAGAGCAACAACACCTAGCATAGAAATAATTAAATTAGATATGCAACCAATAGAAAACATACAAAGGCAAGAAAAACTAACCGACCAAATTGAAGATGTTAATCCAAATACGGCAAATTCAGCCCCAGTCAGACGTTTCTATCGATCCAGTGCAGAGAAATTCGAAGACAAAGAAATGGCTATAGTGAATAATGAGAAAGTACAGATAGTGAGGCCAACTTCACATTCAAGATTCGTAGGACATTATCCAACGCCTAGTGCGACGATAGCTAAATTAGACGAAGCCGTTCTAGGCAAAATAAGGACGAAGAAACAGACAATAGCAATAGTAACGCCTGAAAAACACAGTCCAGAAACGTAGTCCGAAATTAGTCAATTAAAAGTGTCATAAGTAAGTTATTTATTTCGCCGATACGTGTGGACATGTATTTGCTCAATTTTTGTACTTTAATAGTCTAGTTGAATGGAGTCAAGTGATATTACGGTGTATGTTAGTTGTTTAGTAAATTTTCCTAATTTCTTTGTGTGTTTTATTTTTTATTGTATATTTTTCTACTTATTGGCAACCGAGTCTCCAATACGGTGTTGTCGACTATAGTGCATTAATGCCAGTGTATTTTCAAACTGTAATTCGTGTGCGAAACTTAGAAAAAGAAAAGAGAAAGAAATCAGGCAACTGTAAAGATGTAGACAACATATAAGTATTTGTATATTTATAAATAGTTGTAAGTACCTACATATTGATTTTGATAGTAAACCAATCAAATTGGAGTCATATTTCTGTGCTAGACAAACTACAAGTTGAAATGAAACAAACATCTCAGATTAGACACATAAATTATGAACGATTACTTTATTACACACACTGAATATGAGAGCATATAGCACACTTGTACAATTTATTTTTGTGTATTTTATTTCTTCCTAGCTTTTACGAGACACTTTAATATCTTTTCACAATATATGGGTCCAATTACTATAAGGGCAGCCGCCACAACAGCGGTCATACAACTCATAGCAATCATTTTGGGAAGCTTTCCGGGACCTTATTCTTACAGCAAAGTCCTAACTCTCTATAGATACACAATTACACAATTATAGCGTTACTGTGCAAATCAACAACTGGTTCTAGATCCTCAAAACTCAATTTGAAAATTCAAAGCCATGAAATCATGGCTGCTCCAAGCTTCTTAAATAATATCCAAAGGCTCAAAAAGTAGATAGACAATTCAGACCAAAAAATACTATTGTATTATCTTGGTGAACAGCTAGAATTCCAAAGGTATCCAAGTTATACTTCACATAACCAGAACGGCAAACCACACTTGGGACATATCATAGATTCTGGTTCTGCAGGACAAGTGCATTTACTCTGGAAGAAGTGGCGCGACCAATAGGGGATACAGACAATAAGAGCAGCTGCACTGACTAGACTCAGCAACGAAATGGAAATCATGCATCCGTACAGTTCAGCAGTTTCTGAAACAAGGAAAATATGATGAAGTAGCTACGCGAGTACAACTATAAATACGAAGATTAACATTAAAATAAGCGAACAGTACTTGCTTCACAAAACGAATAGAACACTTCTTTTATCAATAAAATTTCATTTTGGAATATGTCCCTCACACATACATGCAGACATGCAGATAGGACACGTACCTATTTGTCCAATTTTTGTAATTGAATAGTTGTTTTTTACTTTTCGTAATTTCAAAAGAGAAAATGTCTACGGCGTTTTTCTCTGCGAGCGGTATGAGAAACAGTAATTGTTTACTTGGTCGGCAATCGGCATGCTTCTAGTGTTGTAGAAGTATCTTTAGCTACGGTATGCACTTACTATCAGACGACCCGCAATCTTCGTTGATAGTAGAATGAGATAAAGTATTTAATAAGAAGTCTCATCCAATGTCGCTATGGCATATTGTACTTAACGACTGAGTACATGATTCCAGTTGCACCTTAACCTATTGCGGATCGATCTTTTAGAAAAGTAATGTTTTATAAATTGGTGTTTAAGGTCTGTATGTGGTATTTAAGCCTCGCCGTAGAAGAGAACATTTGAAATATCGCTATTTGCACAGAGGTTACTTTCAATGAGACTAAGCAACAGCAGCAGCATTTTCTTATATATTTTCTTAAACAGCCCATCAATATTTATTTGGTCAACCGAACTTTTTTAACCAACTTAACCTGAGCTACATTTCTTTGCTACAAAAACGGCTTAAAAGTTAAAATCAAACAAATATGTCGTGTTATATATTATGAACGATCACTTTATTACACATACTGGATCTAAGAAAATTAGTACATTCTCACAATTTAGCAGCCTCATTTGTGTATTTTATTTATTTCTTGTTTGACTTAACGAGGCAACTTAACAGTTTCTCACACAGTATGGGTCCAAAAACAATGATGCCAGCCGCTGCGATCGCGGTCGCACAACTCATACAAATCATTTTGGGAAACTTTCCTGGACTTCTAGATTCTTGCAAAGTCCTGCCACCTGAAGAATATTATACCTATGTCACTTCAGTTTAACCTCTATATGTACACAATTATATCAATACTGCGCAACTGAAAAACTTGTTCTAGATCTTCAAGTTGAAGTTCAAAATTCAAAGACAACCAAGTTTTTTAGTCGCAACAATTTTGTTAAACAGTCCGAACTAATTTTCTTTTATTTTGACTAACAGTTAATATATTCTATAGCTAAGTAAATTTATAATTCATACAATCAGAACGGCATGCCACAATCAGGACATATAGGTACTGCAGGACACGTGCATTTACTCTGGAAGAAAGTGCGCGACCAATAGGGGATACAGACAACAAGGGCAGCTGCACTGACTAGACTCAGCAAAGATATGCAAATCATGCATCCGTACAATTCAGCAGTTTCTGAAACAAGGAAAATATGATGAAGTAGCTACGCGAGTACAACTATAAATACGAAGATTAACATTAAAATAAGCGAACAGTACTTGCTTCACAAAAAACAAACATTTATTTTAAACAAAATCAACTGACTTCTTTGTTGGACGACACTACTTTCTGTGCGGCAGTTTGCCTTCGCATTGGAGCACCCTTTTGCTCACCTCATCGTTGTCGTTGTCGCGAAGCTGTTAACAGTCTCGGACATCACGGCCTCTGATGTAGCTGCAGTGTGGGCCACTTTGCTCGACACGCAAATATTAATGATATTATTTATGCGTGCCAGCTACTTTACAACCTACTGGCCTGGTACGCGACAATGGCGAGACCTGATGGTATGTCATTATTCCCTTGGAAGATGGATAAAACTTAGTTTAGGACGCCAATTGCTTTGATACTATTTCACCATCCCATCATCCACTCACCATCTTAAGCTCAGCGTGTAGAGCCAGTGATGCAGAAGCGGCAGCCGAGAAACGGCTAAAGTATGGTTGAAAACAATTTAACCGTTTGGGGTTGATACTTTTGGCCCATGAAGTCCAAATATGCATGTTCTATACAATGATATCGTAAAGAGGATAGTTGACGCTTCAGGTGACCGTATCGCTGGCTGGTACTACCTAGGTCATAGGTTAAGGATGACCATTCAACGTGGCAATCTTTTGGGCACTCTACCTCTTGACAATGATGAGGAGGCTTTCGATGCTCTTTTGTAGTTTTTTTTAAATAATTTATTTTCACGTTGTGAACAGTTTAGTTTTTAGAATCTTTTTTTTTACTTTAATTTACTTTACAATTATATCATCTAGAAATAAAAACTAACTATTTAAAGGGATATCAATTTATTACATCACAAAGTTACGGACACAAAAGCACAGGACATCATCGTTTACTTTTGATGAAACATTTTAAGATCTTGTCGCAGACTATCGGTCCACAGGCTATACAAGTAGCTGCCACGAGGGCTGTAGCACAACTCATGCAAATCATTGCAAGTGCACAAGGACACTCTTCCAAAAATAATATTCCACCCACAAGCTCTGACCAGCTACTTCCACTTTCAGAGCTTATTTAGACGAACAAGATTTCGGTTTCTTTATATCACTACTTTCGTTACCAACCAATTTCTTTCCACACAAGCACCGATTATGAATACAAAAGTGATGGGCACAGACTCCCAAAAGTCTCAGGAATATTGCAGCACCAATGAAGTTCAGAAGCGATAAGCAAATCATTGGCTCTGAAACAAAAGAGATGTAGATATAAAAGAGGGAGACAAAAACAAATTAATTGATATAAATAAATAATTGGATGGACTTAGCGTTAGTGCTATGAAGAATGACGCTTCTGTTTAAGTTGACACAGAGTAAGACAATTGAAATGTTGAAACAAAAAAGAAGATAAGTCTTTGAAGCTGACAATCAAACAACCATAACTAAAAATAAAACGATGGACAGTATTTAATTGAAAAGTATAATTCATTATGATAAAGTACAAGATTGGATAAACAGTAGGGTATAAAACATTGTGTTAGACAAGTAGCTTTGGTAAAATCAACATGGGGGTTTTTTACTTTTGTTAGTTAAGCAACATAATATTCTCTCACATATTAAAGGTCCAAGTACAATGAGTCCCAACACAGAGATGAAGGCACTGCAACTAACACAAACCATCTTGGTGTCTGATGTATTTTTACAATATCTGATTGACGACTGATTGAAGCGAAACTTCGATTTACCGCGGCATACCACAGCTTTTGCAGGTTTTGTTTCTATCTTGGAGAACTTTCGTCGTCAATCTGAGACAACAGACGATGAGGACAGCACTGGCGAGCAGTATACACCCTGGAGCACACAACATAGGTTCTGAAACAAAAACCGAAGTAATTTTGGAAAACGATAGGAAATTACAAAAAAATAATAAATTATGCTTATCTGGAGTCTTGTTGGTAATTTTCTTGTATAGTTGGAAGCACGTCACCAAGTTTAATCACTGAACTTGTCAAAAGACATTGCTCCCATGTCAGCGGTCAGCGGTTCCCGGCGAATTAAAAATATGTTTCTCGCGCTACAAATGTTTCATTTGTGAACCGCGCGACTTGTAATAAGAGGTCTTATGGTAGGTACTTACATGCAAAAGCCAACGATTCCTTGACAAGGCACCAAAATTTTGCTATCATTTGTATAATTTAAACGCCAAATGATAACCCCGATATCAAGATTATCTTAGCGACATTCCACAATAATTTTACACGCATATTGTTTTTACTATTAATTTATACACATGAAAATTTTCGCTCGAGTTTGACACAAACAGAAATATCACCACATTTTCTAAATTTAAAATTTCTTCATAAAACTCTGTCATTGTCAATGGGTTGAAGAAAAGGTTACTGTCTTATTGGGGTAAATAAAACCTCGCCGTGGTTGATAAAAGCTTACTGTACCGATTTACTGTTTAAGTTTACTGTACCCGATGGTAACGTTCAATTATGATTATAATCCGTAAATGCAGCGTGGGTTAGTTTTCAAAAGAACAGAAGAAAGTGTGAATGCGGTTACCGGATGCCCAATCCTCCTCCTATCCCCAATCCGCAAGTCTCCCAACCTTCAAATACCTAAACCGTTGCCTTACTAGGGTACGCAACAGTGCGGTGTTAACCCAACTCCTGAAGGCCGATAGTCACGCTGCAGATTTCCACTTAGGATACAACTAAAGTCAATTCATGGATAAGTTAAGGTAAGATAAAGATTTTTGAGAGATTAAGAGTTTTGCATTTGTGATTGAGATAGGTTATTAATTTCCACCGGCCGTAGACGACTTCGAAAAATCACAATCACTGAAAGTAATACAATATAGAGTTCTATGAAGGAACAATCAATTTGCAGTCTCAAATATAATTCCTATGAATCCCTATGAAGATTTGTCATCCGTTACAGGAGATTGATTATAATTATTGTTTGAGATAAAAATGGCTTTAAACTGTCAAACACCAAGCGGTCACCGGTGACCGCAACCTATTGGTCTATAATTGTGTCTACAAAACCGGTACTCGACGAGTTAAGTATGCTAAGTTTTTAAGATGCAAATATTGCTGGATGTTAGTCCCAAGTTCCACAAAACCTTTATTCATTCATTCATTTTAAACAATTACCTATATTATACATACATAACCCTTTTACAATCAGGCAGGTGACATAGTCTAGTCTAAAAGCTTTTCAGCTTAACCAAAACAAAATATAGATGATAAAAAAATATAATTTAATACAACTTAATTAAGTAAACAAAACACAAAACAATTTCTCAGCTAACGTGAGATCGTTTAGGGCAGCAGGGGCTCTTGCATGGCGGCGGTGGGGTGTTGCCACTGGAACATTTAGGCCAATATGTGTCCAAAATGATGGGACCACAAGTGATACAACCAACCGCAATGAGCGCCGTCATGCAACTCATGCAAATTAACATATTTCTTATTTCCGAAGACACTTAACGAACTTGTGCATCTCAAACTGTCGGTAGCAGACTGGAACGCACGCAAGGATCGTGGCTGAAGCGATCAGGGCGTACAAGGAGAGGCAAATCATTTTTCACAAGTACTGCCTCTTGCAGCCACCTTATTTTTATGTTTAGCGATTTGTTTAACAGCGATGCTGTGTTGTCTACTCCTGGAGATGTGGAGCAATGTGTCGAGGGGCTTCAGGTAAGGAGAGACGTAGCTCGTTGAGGTACGCCACAGACACGTAGTCCCTCGACCGGTACTGTAAATAGAGCAGGACATGTGAATTAATAAAATTGTTGAACATGCAGACTTCGGTTATAATGCTAGATCTTGCGCTGTGAGTTAAAGCTTAATTATTTTAAAATACTTGTTTGTAAATTTTACATTAAGAAAATGATAAAGGCAAGATATTGAACATTTATAGGTTAAAGAGCGGAAATAAATAGACAAGGCTGATAAGTTAAAATCTTTTGGTCATTTTAAAACATTTGAAGTTGAAAATCATACTGACCACGGTAACACACTATGCCAAGAAGTTGGTGACGTGTGTGCCGTAAGGTAATTTGAGGCGACCAACTCACGCCTCAGTTATGTGGCTATTCAAACTTACAGCTAAAGTAAAAGCACACATAATTTCATCGGGTTTCTATAAATCACAAATTTTCACACAAAATTTAAGCCATGACAATTTTTGATTGACATTACGCAGCGACGTCAACATTTGAATGTTCTGTTCTGCGAGCAGTGTATTGTGTTTGCTGCCAGTAAATTAATTATGATAAACTTCTTGAATAGATTTCGGTACACTTGGTTGCAACTTAGTTTCAACAAAACAGTAGGCAGAGATGCATACAGAAAGCATCTTTTCCACGTAGTATTAATTCCATTTAAGTGTGAATTTAGATAAGCAATTTTAAGAATAAAGAACTTCGTGGGCCCATCAAATACAGATATAAAAAATCTTTTATCTAGTTTATCCTGTAGTAGTATTGGTATGAATTTTGATAAGGCCAAAATATTTTTAATATAACAAATGGAAATTGTACTGGGATACCTCGGTAGTAAGGTGATTGATTAGATCTTTCTATTTAGCCTCTCTATTTAGTATTAGTTTAAAAAGATAAAACATTTTTGGTTTTAATCTGTAATTGCGAAATAGGTAAATCTGCGAGTGTGGTATGGGTGCAGCACCAAATATTATTTGTTCCCAGTCACGGTCTCAAGGTGAAGATAGCCATAACGCTGTTGAACCTCCGATAAAAGCGGCATTTAAGAAGAATAAGAAGAAGAAAAGTGTAGTCTAAAAGTGAAAAAAAGTTTGCCTCACTTTTAAGAAGAAATGCGAACCATAAAGCAGTAGCGGAAAATCTTTAAAGAAAATTAAAATTTAGAACTATCAATGTCAAACTGGCATACCGCTTGATCGTGAATTGTTCGTGTCACAAGCCCTGAGAAAAAATTTCTTATCCACCATTCTATAAAAGGAAAAAAACTTATGTAGTAATTTAGGTCAACGATAGGCAATATAATATTGCCAATATATACTCATAGGATAATAAATTGTGTATAAATGAGACTTTGGGTGTGTTTGTTGCTGACTTGTGCGTCAGTGTGGGGGTTCCCGGAGAGACGATCGGCCGAGAAGCAGCCTGACTTGCCGCAGCTGGCCCAGCAGCTGCAGGGTAAGAAGGACAACAGAGTTAGGGAAACTCCGAGGGATTGCAAGGGGAAGTGCGCCTCCAGTATAGCGCAGAAGGCTGCTGCGGAGGCGAAGGCAGCACAGGCGGCACAGAACGCTGCAGGAGCACAGGCGGCTCATATGGTTAGCAATTTATATTCATATTGTACTCCATAAAGATTGAATCAGCGGAAATCAAAACTAAAAGCAGCAAGCACAGAGTCCAAGCCAATATTAGCTAGTTTTAGGTTATTAAATTTCTTTGATTTTCAAAAATAGTTTAAAAAAATGAAAATGTCGACATTTTGTACTAATTTTGAAGATTTTGATTGACAACGTCAAAATTTTTCCATTGTTTTCACCAACATTTAATTTCCCAGAATAAATTCTGTCCACTACTACGTTTTCCTACAGGTCAAAACTCAACTAGCAGAGAAGGCACTCCAGGCAGCTAAAGCGGCTGAAGCGGCACTCGCTGGCAAACAAGCTGTAGTAGAACAACTCCAACAAGAAGTGAAAGAGGCCGAGGCAGTTGTAGCAGAGAACACAGCGGCTGTACATCAACAACAAGGGACTGTAAACGCAGCTGTGCAAGCTGCACAGCAAGCTACTGCTCAGGTGAGCTCCAGCAACTTGAGTACCTTTTGTTCATACTTTCGTCTTTTCAGATTGATTCTAAATTTTAATCCTACCTCCTTTCCCATTAAAATCTTAAACAGTTTTTCCACTTATTAAAAGCAAAAAAGTTCGTTATTTCACTGCTAATGAAATTTCCCAACATTTTTGGTCTCTGATCGTATCTTCAACAATTCCTACCCGAACGAACGAAAAGGAATTCAAAGTTTTACGAAGTATTTAACATTTTATGGCGAATTCATTGCGGTTACTACCATTATTTTGATTGTTTATTAAATTCCAACGTTATTTGGTAGTAATTGTTGAAGTGCCTAATTTGCTGCATTGATACTTCGTAAAACTTTGTTTTCTCTTTTTCACAAGGTGCCAAGTCCGAAGACTTCGTAGTTTCAAGATTCTCTTTATCTTTGTCCAAGAAAATTATCTTCAATAATGCTCTGCATGTCATTGTGTACCTTTGTCGTAACAGCCGCGATATTGTCCTGTGTCCCTGTATGCTACAAAGCGTATTCAGGAAAAATAGTATCATGTTTCTGCACCGGTGGCAACGGTAAAAAAAAGAAACAATAAAAAAAATCAATCATTAAAATGGTGGATAAACGTGTATAACCGTAATCAACTCTTTGAACTTTTTTGTTTACTGGAAATAATACAAACCTGTATATCTTCTTTACTTAGTTTTCTTTTATTTGTAGTTAGCTGTTTCATCACTATTTGATTTTCATATATTTTATTTTTTTAAATAGCTTTTATACCACGTGATTAAAAATATTTTACGACACCCTATCTTTTTGTTTTCACACTTTACAGCATAAACTCATGGTACAAGCGACGCAATTAGCTGCACAACTTGAAAAATCAGCTCACTGCGTTTTAGAGAAGACTAAATTCGGATTACAAGAGAAATGCCATAATCTGTCTGAGGCAAGAGCAAGACTAGCACATTTGCAACACAAACTGCAATGCGCTTGCGCTGAGTGTTCTGCTACTAAGCAAGCTGCTCACTGCGCTTGCGAGGCGGCGCGTGCTGCCTGCGGCAATGCGCGCAGGAAGAAACATATCACCAACCAAATTGCTGTAGCACCGAAAGACAGCAAACGAGGACGATGATCGAGCAAATAAGGAAAGTATGGTTAAGTGATTGAAACATCAGTTCAGAGTCGGAAATTCTGTTTTTGTGGCGGAGTGTAGAAAAATATTAGACCAGATTGTCGCCTACTTGCATTACGTTCTACGCTATTATAATATTATTTTTTCCAAGATTTGCCAGGTAGCTTATGAATCAGTAAAACTATACTAATTTCTGATAGAGAAGTTTGAGAACTTTAGACATTGTCCACAATCCATACCTTTTTCTGCACTAAAAAGAATTTCCGACTAGTACCAAAAGAAGTCCAACTAGTACCTACAGAATACCAGCTTTAATTCCGCCACTTGAGCTGAGTGAAGGAGATGATACTAGTTCCGTCATTTAATATCATAAGAAACTCGTTTAAATGCACTAGCTGTCTATTATAACGATAATTTGCTGAATTAATGTCTCCACCTGAACGTATTGCTTTCTTAAAAGTAACTTGTTTTGTATCATTTGACTGACGACATCGAACTATTTCTGGAGGTGCTGCGAGAGATTGGTGAAAAACCTAATGAATATCTTTCTCGGTATTTATTTCCAAAGAGATCAGTTGGTTCTTGGTGAACTTGCTGGGATCTATTTAGCTTGTAGTGTCAGTTTTATTAATAGGTAAGTTGTTTTTCATTATAGGTAGAGCAGAGAATTTCATTTCCGTTCTTTTCCAATAGAGTGCAGACTTCTAAAAATGAATTACAATAGCAGCTTTTGCATTTCATTTTTATAGGAATGTAAATATACTCTTACCGGATGTTTTATTTTCAAGAATGCGTGGATTGAGATGAATTTACGATAATTTTGATTAGTTCTATTTACTTTAGTTTTTTAATATTGTGTGTTAAGACGTTCGACGTATAAGCTTTTGATATGATGGATTTCGTTTAAGCTTCTGTTAATATAGTATGGATCAGGTAATACCAACTTGTTTTATTTTACCAACCCATCATCAATATTTCATAACTCATTATCATCATTCATTACCATCATCATCATCATCCTCATCATCATTATGCCTCCTTATTTATTGTTATACTTCTATGCAAGGATTCAAATCATTTTTTCCTATAAAGTTCATTAGCATGAAGACTGAGAATATAACATTAAGCCATAGTTTTAGTATCTACCCCGGTCACTGAGGTAAATGGAACCTGCAGGGAATGTCGCGCAATGTATACTATACGGTTCGATTTTAAGGCCGTTCCTGTAGAACATCGGCTATGACTTGGTTATTTGCACCGACCTCATGAGCGACGTCAGCGTGTTCTGCTACGCTGACAACGTATTGGTGCTAGCGCACGGGAGGTCACATCAGGAGGTGGCCAATTAATAGCGAGAGCGGTTACGACAGCCTTTACAAGGATCCGGCAACTGGGAATCGAGGTGGCGCTCCACAAGTCCGATGCCATGTGTTTTCATGGCCGCGGCAATGCGTTATCTCCGGGTGAGTCTCAAATAACGGCGAAAGCGGTTATCATTAGCGTCGAGACGACGATGAAGTACCTGGAACTCGTCCTCGACAGTCGGTTGAACTTTGTGGAGCACTTCCAACGTTTGGCTCCTAAGTTTGAACGAACAAGGGCGGCACTTAAGCACCTACTACTCCCCAACTTTGGGGTTTTTGCTTCCTGCCGGAGGTTGTACGCGGGGGTCGTGTGGTCTATGGCCCTCTACGGTAGCTTTGTGTGGGCGCCGAATCTGATGCAACGGCCCGCTCGGGCGTGGTTCACGTCTCGGAAGTGTCTGAGAACCTTCTGATCCGCGGATATCGTACGATTTCCGAGGAGGCGGCGAACCTCCTTGCCGAATTACCACCGTGGGATCTGGAGAGAAGGTGATCGCGCGCGTATTTAATTTGCACGCGGTAGCACGTCGCCAGGGTAAAACTTCCGCTGACGCGCCAGATTAGTGGGTTGCGAGAGGAGCTCCGTCGCGATCTTATGGCCACATGGCAGCAACGACTCCCGCAACCGAAGGCTCGGCTTGCTGTTATTGCAGCGGTAAGTTCCTTCTTTGAGGAGTGGCTTGAGGGACGTTACGGCGGGCTTGCGGACGGTGAGCACGGGTGACTCGCCGCCCGACCAGAACCAGATCCGAGCGAACGACGCGTCGCGTACTACGCGCGCCTCCCAAAGAGCCATAGACCACTATAGATGGGGCCCAATAGGCTGATGCCGATATGGAGCTGCAGAAGGCCTATCGGGTTGCCGGGGCTCCGATTCTTAGGTGCCAGGAATAGGAACGGGGTGGTTTTCGAATGAGTCTGACAGTCCCTCTTGCCTTGAGTGTTATGAATTACGAACCGGGTAAGTTTGACGTGTCTTTGTCTATCTATGGCTAAGTAGCTTTCTAGCGGATGAACCTGTTTTATTTCTATTCTTAACACTTGCTATTGTACAAATGAAAAGTCGAATATTTTTTATAATAAAGTTTATTACAATAATTTAAATTATAACAAGCAGTTCTACTAACATCTATTTTTGGAAGTCTACAATTCCTACTCGTTCCTTTTTACGCCATAATCATCAACAACACTAACCAATTTAAAATAACTTAAAATGAACATTACATAGTACGGTGGATTAAGTTAGTATTATGTTAGTTGTACCAATGACGTTTAAAAAGGCGGACACAATCTCTTGAAACGACGACTGTGGCACCTGGCTACTATACACTTACACGCAGAACAGACACGAAAGACATTGCCCGTCATTACACTTCATACCGTAAAATGGGGTGAATAGGGATCGCGAGGGGAATAGGGACAGAAGAGAGGTGAATAGGAATTGGGAAATTCTTCATACTCCCCGGCGTTGCAAGTATACGCACACATAAATATACCATTGACATTTTGGTGCTTCAATCATTTTCAAGTGACATTACGTCTGCCTTTTTTCAAAGTCCTTGGGTTGCAAAAAATATGTGTAGAGAATACATTTTTGTTCTAATACTATACAAGTTTATGACCAGTTTCACAGGTTAGTGATAAATCACTGAATTGACTTACTAGTCCTTTCGAGAAGAGAATTTGCCCTCGCTAAGTGGAGAAGTTAAATTTTCAGTCAGCGTAAGTTCAAGCAGCGCCATATTATCCCCAAGGCAAACTAGGCAAGTACCTAGGGCGCCAGGTGATAGAAAGGCGCTGCGAGACGCGCATGCCCTACTGCTCACAGAGGCGGAGCCGGCGACACCAAAAACAATTAGGGGCGACTATGAGGTGCTTGCTTAAGAACGCTTTTTAGGTTTAACCCGCCCCTGGGTTAAAGAAAATTCAACTCGAGTTCTAAGACAAAAATTCTGATTATCTAATTATTTATTTTTTTCATTACGTCGTCGGATTATTTAATCGTTGGTTTATCACCCAGATGATGGTTTATTACTAACTTAGTTTGTTTTTTTTGTGTTTTGGTCTACCAAACTATCTATAGTTCATATAAATTACGTTTTCAATTATTTGGTACATAGTGGCTATGAAGAACTTGTGAAACAGACCGTAAGTATATTTTAATTACTGTGAAACTGACAAAAAATTTCGACAAAACCATTAGGTAAGTACTTTTTATCGAAATTGTCTAATTTCAATAGAAGTACAATAGTAACAATATTTGTATTTTACAACATATTATGTTGTACGCATTACACGTTTGTGTGTGTCGATGCGTAAACACAAAAATTTCAATTAGAACAAGGAAGGTTTATAATGGTAAAACTACATCGTTGTCTCTAAACCAAGGTTATTTATCGTCGATATTATCAAGTTACTACAAAGGTATATAAATACAGTAAATAATAATTTCAAAAAACCGAGTTAAAGACAAAGCAACGGGATCGAAATCGGGTTTTACGGATTTTTATAAACAGAGAAACTAATTCACACATGTGTGGTCGTGGGATCCATCCAATCAAAATCTATCTATGTCATACATAAACAATTGTATTGCACATTCTTTTCTGTTTACATTTTCCATACGACCGTTCTTTTATTTCAATACCATAAATAAAACAATTTTTCTTAAACCTAGTCAACTATACTGAAGGCATCGTTCAGATTTTGTGGACTGAACGCCATGTTGCTGTGCTTGTAGTTGGAGTACGGTGAGTTATTAGCTGACAACGCCATGTCGACGTCAACGTAGCCATGTTGAGCAGTGAACGAGTCCTCCTCTTCTTCATTGTCATCATACATTGGTGATTGATGCGGTAGTTTTGTCACGTACCTCCCTGGAGGCTCAGCATACTGTCCACCAACAATAATTTCATCGTCAAAGTCATCTTGCTTATTTGGTTTCCACGGCTTGTTCAGTAACTTTGAATCTGCAAAGTAAAATGGACGCTTTTTTCTAAAGAAAAATTTGGTATCCTGCATTACTTGTTTATTTGCAGCGTCTAATTCCGTAGCATCTTCAGTATAGTCTTTAGGAATAGGAGTGACGAAAATTTTATTGTCGGTGTAAGAAGGCTTCTTTTTTGAGAAAGCGTAGTTTGAATCAGGAGGTGGAGTATGCTTAGTCCATTGGTACTCATGTCTGTTGTGTCCACGATTGTCATAATGTTGTGATGTTTCCTGGAAGCTCTGAGGAGTTGAGTAAATGTCACTGATACTGGTTTTTAGAGGCGCCCCATAGGAGTCAACGGGTGGTTCCCCGTAACTTTGTTTTTGGTCCTGGTAATCATTGGCATGCGCTACTGGTGGTTCCCCAAAACTTGGTTTGTCAGGCGCGAAGATAGAATAATGAGGTAACTTAAGAATATGTCCGAATACTGGTTTGTTGTTAAGTCTCACTTTGCCTGATTTAGGTATCGATGCTCGCTTTCTGTTTAAGTTAGTTCTATGTTTATTGGTGGACTTTTGTGTTCCATATTTAGGAGGAGTAGCTTTTGGATTTCCCTTGCGCATTTTCTTTGACGGTTTCCTTGATGCTTTCGGAGGCCAGTACTTCGGCTTTGGTGGTCCATACTTTGATTTTGGAGGTCCGTATCTCTGCTTCGATATTCTTCTGTATATTACTTTAGGCTTCTGAAATATTCTATCGAGTGGATAGTCTTCTAGTATCAATGTTGCTTCTCTTTTACTTATTATTCTTTTACCATCTGGTGTTTCTTCTATTTCGGTATCTTGTTCTTCCACCGCGACACATGCTGTGACAGTTATCTGGAATGAAATAAAGGTGAATTTGAGAATTATTAGTATTTCAAATGATTAATACGAAATTGGATGAGCAATCATAATGCTATGATTGGAGCTTGGGGATACATTACTTAATCAATTAATTATAGATCACAATATGTTTTTATTTTATATTTGTTATAATATTTATCTGAGTAGATTTTTTTAATGGGACAAGCCCGGCTCAACCTCTCAAAACCGCTGCAACTCCTATAAGCCAGGATCTACAGTAGATACAACCATGAAAACACCAGAACACTGAAGTCCGGTGCGTCCCAGGGACAATAAAAAATTGTCTTAGTCCCCGCAACGAAGTGAATCACAAGATATTACGAGGAGAAGAAAAAATATCTGGGTAGATTATCTTAATGTCACCTAATCATCATTTGTTGGGAAAGAAAATCAAGGTTTTCTGTAAGATTACGGTAAAATTAAATTAACATCTAAGAAAACCTACGTGATCCTCGGTTTTGATCCATGGCATCTGTAATGACCATCTGATATTATTTATTTCCGTTTCTTTCATCTTTAATACAGGCAAGCATTTCAAAACGCACACAAATCAATGTTTTTTAATATTTTTTCCTTCATTGTAACCAGCCCCGATATGGTGTTAGAATGCTGGTTTTCACGTCGTGACGGTAATGATTTAAGAAAGTATGCGTCTGCGCCAGTTAGCGTCACACATAGATCTCTCGTTATAGATGAAAGGATTAATTAATAGGAATCATAGTAAGTAGCGCAGTTTAAATAAACCCGACATTCCTCGAAGGGGTAGACAGAGGTATATGTAAATATTATCATACTTTTCATTTGTTTGCTATTTTTGTAATTGGACAAGCGTATTGGTAAATGCCGGGCATAATTTGAAACTACGGGTTTGGGCTATTACAAAGAATTTTGAAATTCGGAAAACCGGTAACGCGTTTGTAACACCTCGAGTGTTTCGAGTATTACCATAGTTTATAGGTATATTCCATGGAAATAAACCCCGTAATAATTGATATGACCTAGAAGATGAACCTCGAAACGTTCAGTCTTATTTGCACTATGTTTTTTGTTCTCCTCTAATAATAGTTTCTGTTTGGTTGCGGGATCCAAGACAGGTATTCCTGTCAGTTAGACGCGCCGGACTACAGGGTTCCGTTGTTTACATGTTTGTATCTACTGTAGATCCTGACTTATAGGACTTGCAGCGGTTTTGAGAAGTTGACGCGGGCTTGTCCCGAAAAAGGTCCCAATTGTAACTTCTTAAAAATGTTTTTTTTTATGAGATAAGCCGGTAAACGGGCAGTCGGATCACCTGATGGTAAGCAATCGGCGTCGTCCATGGACACCCGAAACACCAGAGGCGTTACAAGTGCGTTACCGGCCTTTTGGAGATTAGGAGTAGGATTGTGGGGGATTGGGGAGATTGGAAAAGGGGGTAATTGGGCCTCCGGTAACCTCACTAACACGACGAAACACAACTCAAGCGTTGTTTCGCGTCTGTTTTCTGTGAGGCCGTGGTATCACTCCGGTCGAGCCGGCCCATACGTGCCGAAGCATGGCTCTCCCACACTTAGATGATGCAGCTAACATTACAATATAATGTCAGTTACTCTAAGGATGAACCTTTCTATCGCGTGCAATCACTTACTATTCGTGTATCGATTAAATTTCACTCCTTTTAATTATTATAATTACATTCATTATGTACAGTTCTATTTCCTATAAAATACCCATTTTATTTCCTCTATTAATTATCACGGCTTGAATTTCTTTTATACTTAACCGATATTTTCGATGCCTTCCTCATACATTTATTAGCTCTTTGTTCAAATTATCGCTATCGGCAATGAGAAACACAAGTGTTTTTTACTACGGTCCTAGTTCAACTAAACCATTTACTGTCTGCCTGTTCGTCAGTAAACCAAGGTGCACTTATTGTATTTTAAAAACTCGTATTCGTAACCAACCCCACTGCTGAACAGATTATCTTCGATATATAGACAAGAGTCTATAAAAACGCCAGTTACAATTCTGACATCACTTAATGTAAAGCATCTGGCAAAAGGTTAAAAATGTTAACATTACTCACTTATATAGTAATTAGTAAATAAACCACGTCTTACATAAAAATTACCATTCAAAAGATTTCATATTTCACTGTCGAGTTGCTACTGTCTCTTGGTATTCTTTGTATGCTAATATGGCCCCAAGGGTCAACTGGTATGTATTAAATGAAAGTTACCAGCGGCTTTGCCACGTGGAAGCTCATAGGAAGTAAGTAAATATAACATAATCATTCCAACTTAGTTTGTGGTATTCTAAGGAGCAGGCACGACGCGTGAGGCGGATAAGCGCGGGCCTGCGTACGGCGAGCATGGGTGGCTCGCCGCCCGACCAGAAACAGACCCGAGCGTACGGCGCGTTGCGTTCCGCGCCACAAAGAGCCATCAGACCACCACGGATGGGACCCAGTGGGGCTGATGCCGATTTGGAGCCGTGGAGAACCTAACGGGTTACCGGGGCTCCGGCTCGAAGTGCAGGAGTAGGAACGGGATGGTTTTTAGTCAGTGAGAGTCTGACACTCCCTCCCGCCTCACCCAGGCGGGAGCAGTCATTCGACGATTTTACCGCTTAAAATAAAAAAACGTGCGATTTAGATTTTTTGTCACTTTAAAAAAGAAGGAGGTCCTCAGTTTAACAAATCAAATCAAACCAAATCATTTATTTGCATAAAATGTAGGTGTTTACAAATAAGTTGTTACAGATTTAATATAGCGGCCTTATACATTTTGCCCGTTTATTGGCATGCAAAATATGGTGAAAAAGAGAGAGATTCAATATAATTAAGATTAACAATTTTGGTACAAACAATAATAACAATGTCATATTAATACTTAATTTTAATAATCAATTAGAAAGTCTGTTGTTTAATAATAACATTTGTGAATGAGAAGTTTAACCGTATGTAGGTATTTGGGTACATTTGTCCGGCAACATGCGTAATTTACTCGACCCAGTGCAACCTGACATCATACAGAAGCTATTTTGCACTTTGCACTTGAGACTGAACAACAAAACAGCGATAAATAACATTTTCTTATGGCATCAGCCGGTAAACGAGCAGACGGATCACCTGATGGTAAGCGATCGGCGTCGCCCATGGACACCTGTAACACTGAAGGCGTTACAAGTGCGTTACCGGCCTTTTGGGGATTAGGAGTTTGAGGATCGTATTCAGGGATTGGGGAGATTAGGGAAGGGGGGGGGGGGTCATTGGGCCTCCGGTAACATCACTCACACGACGAAACACATCGCAAGCGTTGCTTCACGTCGGTTTTCGTGCCGAAGCATGGCTCTCCCACACTTCAAAAAGTTTTCTACCATTATGACATTTAACATTTAAATTGACTTCCTCATATACCTAATTGAATGGGGAATTTAGAAGCAGATGCGCACGCGTCACTTTCTAGTGCGTGCACAGATAAGTGTCGGTAAATCTTAGACACTTGCGCAGTTACTCAATGGCGATAGAATGTGGTAGATGGTCGTTTTTTGCTTGTAAACAGTTTAACAAATCGTAGGAAAAGTAAATGTTTTAAGTCGTCGGCACGTGTATGTTATGTGGCTGGATTGTTTGTGTTTATAAGTATGTTTGTATGTTTGTTCTTGTGTGGGATGATGAAGACATTATGTACCTATGCAGAAGAACTAATGAACCTGCTTGGAATTAAAAGGTTTTTGGGGATCTGGCGCTTGTACACGGGGGAGGATAGTCTCTGGTAATTTTACTTAGGTAAATAGTAGAATAGAGGTAATGTGGCATGGCTTAACCGTGCAAATTGTGATTTATTTAATTGATTTACTTTTTCCGTTTATTGCTAACTAGCGACCCGCCCCGACTTCGCACGGGTTTTATATGCCTATATTATACATATAAACCTTCTTTAAGAATCACTCTATCTATTTGATAAAAACGCATCTAAATCCATTGCGTAGTTTTAAAGATCTAAGCAGACATAGGGACAGACAGACGGTGGATATCGACTTTGTTTTATACTATGTAGTGATCATAGGTGTTGGAGAAGTCCAACATCAATGTCACTGCTTTGATTTAGTATTCACAAATGTTTGCATCCAATTTAATGTTGAAATACTATGACCGACTTCAAAAGATGAGTTGTGTTTTTTTTAAATCTCACGGTACATACATGTCGAGAACTACATAGTTATTATCTACTTTTTTATGTATGTCCACATACATATTTATGGTACAACGTAGACTCATAAATAATATTTTCGGTGAAGTTGGTCAAAAAATTATAATGTTATTGTGTCCGTTGTCAAGATAACAATGTGAGGTCATGTTAAATTGTCCGTTTTCACTGACCTCTGCGTTCTTAGAATAGTTAAAGATTAACTTAACTGTCTTTTATTTTGACTATGTTTATTTACTGTGGGAATTATACCTATATGTAGTTATTGTTAAGAGCAATGGCTACTTCTTTTAGGCGTGTCGGGATGAAATATTATTTTACTTACAAAATATCACATTTTGACTGCCTCGTTGGCGGAGTGGTCGCAAGTGCGATTGCCGGGTCGGGCAAAGTAGCACGAAGTTTAGAAATATATGTGGCAATAGGCTCACCCCCTATTACATGGGACTCATAACATAAATAGTGAAAAGTGCGTGTTACATTGTACAGTAGTATCAACTGCCGTAATGTGCACCTCTGCCTACTCCTTCGTTGATAAAAGACGTGATGTGATGTTATGTTATGTTACAAAATATTGTTCACAGATTTCAATATCGTTAACCATTCTGAACTTCATAATAGATGAAGTTCAGAATATTGGAGGCGAAATACTGACCGTAGTTCGCCAACCATTTATTTAAATATATAATAACCGTTACAAATATCGAATAGAACAAGTTCTTTTACATCTATATAGAAAGTTTGAAGGCCGTCAAACGAGAGTGAAAATAGGAAACTGAA